CTCTGAAAAATCCTGTTTCTGAAATCTCTTCCTCTACATCATTATCCCAGTAAAAAATCTGTGATAAAGCCTCCTCAGATGTCATCCTTCTGGAGCTCATTTTTGGTGAGTTTGTCTAAAGCCTAGCGTACATCGACAGAGTAACTGGAGACAACTACTGTAGTTGCAAGGCGGTTTTTGGAAACTGAGAGTAGATGATGGAGATGATCAGTTGTTATCAGATGTGAGTGCTCTTACAACTGGAGATAAACAGTCGATCTCCGGATTCAGCCAGTTGCCCGTGTTCTACTATTTGGCAACTAGTTGTCCTCCAAAGTTGTAGATCCAGAGATATCACCCGATGTGCGCGCTCCGTGGCGCGCTCCAACAACATGTGTGTATTGCGCCCTCTACAGTTTATGTCAGAAAACACACTGTAGTTGAGGCCAGTTGCTGTCGATGTACGCGCTGTTATTCCCGAGACTGGCCTGATACAGGAGCGGCCCGTTTTCGCCAGATTGTCGATGTGTACGGGGCAGCAACTCAAAGGCGACGGATATAATCAGTTGCCAGTCCGATGTACGCTAGGCAAAAGAGATGACATGAGAACAGTGACAAGGACAAGTGTGAGAAAGTTCCCTCTCTTCACACACCTGGCTCTGGCTCTCAGAGGCAATCAAAATACAATGTCAAAGAGACATGTTTTTTTGGATCTGAACAACTATTTACCCACATTAAAGCGTCAGGGTCAAAATGACCCGCAACATCATCTTTGTATACAAACTCTGCACAGACATTCCACTACACATCAAAGTGTCCAGATTTTACACACCAGTTCATGACCCTAGATGAGGAAAAGTCACCAAATTTCAGCAAGAAAAATAAAAGATAACAAGTACTTTGATCAACACAAAAACTGAAATGGGTCAAATTGACCCTTAACATAATACAAGGGTTAAAGGAGAGTGTAATATTGTTGATACAATACTAGATTACTAAGATACTAAATGTGGGAGATACACCACACAAACCGAACTAAGCGAATCAGGAAAAAATCCACTGGAGGAATGCTAACTGTTTGAAAAATGCTAACAAAGCATTCAGCCCTTTTTTTTACTTTGGACCAGAGCAGAGAAAATGGTCAGAACCGGCTGCTCCACGTCTGCTGCTGTGACCTGAAGTGCTGTTGCATTTTAATATTATTGTTAGCTGTTTTTAGAGTGATCTATTTATTTGTTTTGTTTGTGTGGATGGATGTGTTTTTGCTGCTACTGGACACCTGAATTTCTCCTTCGGGGATCAATTAAGTATCTATCAATCAATCTATGATCCAGCACATCGAGCCCTATGTCCTTGACCCAGAATCAGACCCTAATTATTCAGTTTACAGAAATATATACGGCGAATTAGTAGCATTGTACTTACGGATTTAGGCTCTTCACTGGCGTCTTTCATCGTGGGAATACCACTGATTTCCTGATTAGTTCAGTGCCACTCGCAGAAAAACAGGTTTGCCGCAGATGTCGACGGCAGATCCCTGTGAAAAAGTCCAGCCACATTGGGCATTCCTGGTCTTCGAACCAAAGAGTGCATATTTACACCCAAAAACACCTTTTTCTCCAAGTCACATACACTTTTAGTTGCTTACAAAAGCAGACTAGCAGATTCGCTGTTTTGATTTGTCAATCACCTCCTGGATTGCATTATTATAATTATTTGTATTTATGTAGTGGCTCTGACATCTGTAGTTATGAAGTCATTTGAGTGCCCGTTCCTCCCCCACCTCAAGTCCCTCACCTCCCCCCCTCCTGGACCCCCTGCAGTTCAATTATTATAGATCCATGGGCCGATTCTACCTGCTGGTGGATCACTGACTTCCTGACGGACAGGAAGCAGCGAGTGCGTCTGGGGAAGAATGTCTCGGACTCTCAGATTATAAATACAGGGGTCCCACAGGGCTGTGTTCTTTCTCCCCTGCTCTTCTCCCTGTACACCAACCACTGCACCTCCAGCCATGACTCCGTGAAGCTGAATGTAGAGACCGGTCCACCTACAGGAGGGAGGTGGACCGGCTGGTGTCCTGGTGCAGTGTTAACAACCTGGAGCTAAACGCCTACAAGACAGTGGAGATGATTGTGGACTTCAGGAAGAGCACACCCCAATCCCGCCCCCACCCTCCCTGATGGACTCCCCCATCACCTCGGTGGAGTCATTTTGGTTCCTGGGTACCACCATCACCCAGGACCTCAAGTGGGAGCCGACCATCAGCTCCCTCATCAAGAAGGCCCATAGGATGTACTTCCTGCGGCAGCTCAGGAAAGCCAAGCTGCCTGCACAGATGTTGGTGCAGTTCTACACGGCCATCATCGAGTCCATCCTCACCTCCTCCATCACCGCGCACAGTCAGGGACAAACAGAAACTACAGTGCATCATGCGCTCTGCAGAGAAGGTGATCGGCCGCAGCCTTCCATCGCTGCAGGACCTGTACTTCACCCGAGCTCGAGGCCGGGCTCACCCTGCACATGGTCTGTTCCAACCTCTTCCCTTGGGCAGGAAACTACAGTCCATCAGGACCAAAACCTCCAGCCATAAGAACAGTTTCTTCCCCTCTGCTTTGGACTCTTGAACACTCACAACCTGTCACCCCAACCTTTATAAATCACCTTACTGTCCCTTATTAAGTCACTTTACTGCCCATCATAACGTCACTTTACTGCTGTCACCTTATTGCACTGCTCACTGCATATTGTGTGCACCATGTGCACTTGCATATTGTATATAGTATTTGTAATCGTAATAATTCTATTATTATTATATCAACAGTAGCTCAGTTGGTAGAGCATTGGCCTTAAGGCCAGAAGGTTGTGGGTTCAATTCCCACCTCTGCACCTTCTCCACCGACTCCCACTGATGACTGCTGCGTTTGTGTCCTTGGGCAAGACACTTAACCCCACTTTGCCCAAAAGCCCCCACTGAAAGATCAAGGCTATGCTCACACTCAGTGAGCAGCCGTCCTCCTGTGGACTCACCACCTGCAGAGGGTAAGTGAGGGGCTGGTGCTATGAGACTTGGGTGGCATCTCTGACTGCCACCCCCCTGACCCAGAAATGGATTGAAGGGTAGAAAATGGATGGATGGATAATTCTATTTTCTATTTTTTTGTCGGGGCGACAGTAGCTCAGTTGGTAGAGCACTGGTCTTTGGACCTAATGGTCGTGGGTTCGATCCCACCACGACCCGTGTCAGCTGCTCCCACTGATGTCTGCTGTCGTTGTGTCCCTGGGCAAGACACTTAACCCCAATGTGCCTGAAATCCCCGCTGAAAGACCAAGGCGGCATCTGTGTCGAAGGAGCAGCCATCTTTCCGCGGACCCACCATCTGCCGGAAGATCAGCAAAGAACTGGTGCTATGTGAATTGGGTGGCAGTTCCGATTGCCACCCCCCTGACCCAGAAATGGAAAATAAAGGGATGTAAATGAAATGAAATGAAACCTTAGAAGTGTATGCTGATTTGTATTATGCCTAACTCTATTCTTCCTGAGACTTCCTGCTCTGGACAGAGCAGTCGCATTCTCTTGCTGCTCCTCGCTTGCTGCTTTTTTATCTCCTTTAATCATTTTTGCTTACATTTTTATTCCACAAAACACGGATTATCTTTCTTTTTAATGTTCTGTGATAATTTATGATTTTAATGCTTTCTTGTTTTGTTCAGCACTTTGAATTGCCTTGTGTATGAATTGTGCTATATAAATAAACTTGCCTTGCCTTGCCTTGCCTTGCCTTGCCTTCTTTACCTCTCTTTTCTGAGTGATGCACCAAGCCAAAGCAATTTCCTAGTCTGTGACTTCCTGTTAGTTACATGGCAAAAGAAATGATTCTGATATACAGTATCTCACTGAAAATGGTGAGTTCAAGTAGCACTTTAAGACTATTTTTTGGAATGAAAACCTGCAGCCACGTTCCAAAACAAAGTAAATAGTATTTTGTGTTAACTAATAGCCAACAGCTCTCTTCAAAACTGGTTTGATATAATCCTTTATTGCAAAAAAAGTATAAAAACCATGCAGACAAACACATATTTGGCAGATTCAAACCCAGAGAATTATGTTGCTATAATAAACTGGAAATAATACATTTCAAATTGATTTTGATCAGAAATACATTTTCTGATTGCTCCAACAGCTCACACATTTATATATATATTACATTTAACTGCGAGAATCTCACACAAAAGATGTTGATGGATATATTGTCAATCCATTAGTGGGTAATAAAACTTTCCAAACGCACAGAAAGGGAGGTTTTGAAAAGGATCAAGGACGAGCGGAGGCTTTGAAGTTAGTTGTTTCACTTCCTGCTTCCTGTTGTCGGGCCCTCTTCCGGGTTTTACCTCCCAGTTTTTGTTGGGACAGCAGTTTCCCCTGTGCAAACTCAGCACAGACACATCTTATGGCTTCCACTCAAAACACTCTATATATTTATGTCTTAAATTAGGAATATTGTTGTATGTACATCTCAGTGCAGACAGTAGAAAAATTATAAACATGTTTCCCTATGATCCTCTCTACTTACAAAGCCTCACGCACACCAGCATTGATTTGAGGAAGTGGGTGTAGTCCAATGGTTGGTTTCATTCCAACAGTTGAGATGGAATGAAAACTTACAGCCACACTGGCCCTTAGAGGACTGATTTGATCTACTAGTCCCTCACTCTCAAAACAGTTTGTTTTACTAGTTTTCACATGCATGCTTTATTGGCCTCTACATCAGCTTTTTCTGTCTGAAAGTCATGACCCAGAAAAGACAGACCTGGCCCTTACATCTTGTTCACTCTGTCTGAAAAAGCTGATCTAGAGATGTGGCCTGTGATAGAAGCAAACATTGAGGTGACATGGATTTTATACAAAGTTACTACAATCTAAGGATATGCCGTGTTCCAGCTTGATTTTACGCTGCATATTTAGTTATTTTCTCTTCATCATCTGGATTCCTCTATGCTATATCTTCCCTGGTTTTCCGTCACACAGCTCCGATCACTGCGTTCTTCCTCCGTGGGTCTTGCTCGATGTAGCGTCCTGGACTGGCTTGTCTGTGACCCTCTCTACGTGGCTCGTACTGCTGTGGCCTCCCCCTCTGCTCTGGGTGAGGAGACGCCGGGTGGTACTGCATGGACTGAGGCGGAGGGAGGAGATCAACGGGTCTGGGGTAGTCGTATGGGTCCCTCCTGCAAGACAGAAGAATGCATGTTTGTTCAGACTTTTTCAATGTATTCAACTCTTTGGTTTTAGCTCCATGATAAGTGTTTAAAAGTAGCAAATATACAATCATGATAAACGAGCTCTATGTAACAAACAAAGGCACGTTACATCTCCCTTAAATGTAATTAGCTCGTCTTGCTTTTGCGTGCAGAGGAATTTGTCGAGTAACGAGAGGCAGCTGCAGGAGCTTTAGGCCTAAACCCAGGCTAAAGGGGTCAGGTGGGATTCAAGGGGCAAACGTGTGGTCAAAATGAAGACTCGCGTTTCACAGCTCTATTTCTGCTCTTTCAGTCACACCTACAGGAGCCAGGGGAATGTTACGACAGACATGGATCACTAACTTCGACACGGTTGGTTTATCAGCCACTCTGCAGAGAAAACTCATTTTGATCAAACTTCCATCTCCACAATCTCTCCTGGTCAAAACCCTCTTCAGAATTGTAGTTTTTTCCTGCTGCCATAGACACCTTTTATACAAGTGTACAACTGATCCACACACTCTGCTATAAACTGAACCAAATCCACATTTTTTCTGATGTTTTCTGCCAGTGATTTGATTGCATTGTTTTAAAATGGGACAGTAATAAAAATACAAATCTAAGTCTAATACATGTCATTCTTGATACAAGGATACAAACTGTTACATGTTGAAAGCACACAGCAGTGAATGAGAGGTCTATAAATAGCTTTAGCTCGTCCAAAGTTATCTCTGCTAAATCCTTGCACCTGTCCTCGGTGACAATTAGCCAGAGATCAGTCTGGATTCTTGGACAGATCCGGTCTCAGATAGAGTTCAAAGATCAGTCTAAATATGAGAGTGAAGGGAGCAGAGACCACCCAACAGCACTGAGGGGCCACATGTTTAAAGCTGGGGTACCTGACTCTCAAAACATTTTGGTTGAATGTGATTTGGGACAAAGCATAGAGAAGAAGCATAATGCGAAGAATGTGACTGAATATGAATGAATAGCTTTAAAAAAACCCAAAACATTTAAAACTTCTGTCACTAGTTTTTATGTATCTCTGTCACATCAGATTTTACTGACAGAAAAGTGAAAAAGAGAGAAAAAAGTGATTTAGGTATAGAAACCACATGCTGAATTAACACTAGGACTCCCAGAGCTGTTTTTTTGACTGCTCCCATTCAAACCTATGGAATTCTGGGAAATTCCCCTAAAAATGTGTAGTTTTAAGTTTAAGTCTAAGATACCTTTGGTCCTTGTTAAAGGTCCCATATTACGCTTTTTGACTTTTCTCTGATTTAAACATGATTACAGTGCTATTTGGCCTTCATACACATGCCCAGAGTAGTTTTTTTTATTGATTCTGTCAATCTTCAGTTAGAGAACGATCTTTCTCCTTCACCCTCGAGAGGCAGTGAAACCACATCTGTGACGATTACCACACGGATGACAAATATGACGCGCAGAAGCCCATTTTCTTTCGTATTTAAAATGGTTCTTAAATACTATCGTCAAACCAGGGAAAACCATGCTCAATAAGTATGCTGTTTGTTGTCAAATATAATGAAAAAAATAATAATACAAAAATCTAGGAGTGATTGACAAATCGAAACAGCGAATCACAGCGCACAGCCAGCTCCAGAGTGCAGCGTATCTGTGGTATGGTCAGCGGCTAAAAGTGTTAGGATCATGTCAACTTGTTGAAAATATGTTTTTGGGTGTAAATATGGGTGCACTATTTATAAGAAAGCGGCTCGACTCACGGGGATCTGCCTCTGTTTGAATTAATCTGTTCATCTGAGACACTTCACTAAGACTGTTCCAGAACTACAGGGACAATGGAACTGGATTTACTCAAAAACTAATCTGGAAATCCTTTGTGATTTTTGTGTTACTTGAATGAGAGATAAGGGGTAGGTTTATTATAAGTTCTTTGAACTTCTTCCTACTCCTTTTGAGCACAATAGTCTTGTTTTGTTTTCTTCTGTAAAATGTTTTAAATAAGTTTCTGCTCAAATAAATAAATGAAAGAAAAGAAAGAAAAGCAGTGTTATTCCCATGATAAAAGACGCTAACACGGACCTGTAAGTACAGTGATGCTAACTTGCTGTATACTTCTGTGAACTAAATAATTAGGGTCTGATTGTGGTTTGAGGACACAGGGCTCGATGTGACGGATTGTCAGTGTTGGAAAAGTTTATTCACAGGTCCGACATGACTATGTACTGGAGGATAAACAACTCGCAGCGTGAGGCTACGTCACCGTGCGAGCGGAGGGAGGCGGGCTCACAAACAGACTTCTCTCTGAATCAGCCTGTTTGAGTCGAGGTGACGTCACCTCTATACAAAAGATGGCTATAATCTCACAAGTTTTGAGTGTTGTAATGTGTATCAATCAAATTACCATCACACATATGTTTAGGATGGACTGTGAAACATGAAGAAAAGCGTTATATGGAACCTTTAAAGCTGGTGAATATATAACTTGAAAATGGCTAATGGCCAAAAGCTAACTGCTGCAAGTGAACAATATGTTGCTAACCAAGACCTTTAAGAGATATCTAATAGAATGATAGAATGTTGGTTGTGAAGTGACAAAAAAATCGCTTTTAGTAAAAATTAGAATTTTAGAAAAAGATAGAACTTAATAAAATATAATGACAGAAATAAACTACTGTCCCTGGGCAAAACACTTAACCCCACATTGCCCGAAGCCCCTGCTGAAACACCAAGGCCGCATCTTTGTCGACGTAGCAGCCGTCTTTGTGTGGACCCACCACCTGCAGGAGGATCATCGAAGGGCCGGTGCTATATGTGATTTAGGTGGCAGCTCTGATTTGCCCCCCCCCAACCAACCCAGAAATTGAATAATCAAGGAGATGAAAATGACATGACATGACAAATGACATGGCTATATAAGTCACAGGGTTCCAATCACTAGAAAAATGTTGCTGCTTATACTCTGGAAATTACATAAATACGTATAAAAAACAGTTGGGAATACCAAAAATGTAATTACACTTCTGAAAGCCATCATATTGACTGCTCTGGGAGTCAGAGTATTCAGGAGATTGTTCCATTTAGAGCTGTTTCAATAACATTTCAAACACAGACTGATGTATTTTCCATTGACCTGAGCTTCTCTCATGACATTGATGCGAAGCCAAAGCAGCGGGGAAAAACCAAGGTCTTCAAACTCATTAATTCAAATCAAAGAGACAAAACCACAGGAAGAGCGTATTCAGAGAGGGATGGGAGGGTATAGTCCTAGTCTGGTCCGAGTTCGAGGTCAGGGCCGGACTGTAGGACCACCCAAAGACTGGGGATTTCTCTGGGCTTCGGTTTTCACTCTGTCATCAAGAGTATTAAGCTCCCAACTTTCACGATATGATGTATGATAAAGTTAAAAGCAGAGACTGAAAGTGACATCACCGTAGTGTTAACTTTAATGCTTTAATTTGGGCTTTGCTAAACCTTGGTTACTGAACTAGAAGTTTACCTTCAGATGTAAGTCAATAGAAGCCAGAGAACAGCAATAACTAATGTCTTCAAGGAAAAAGACGCAGACTCAAACTCCACTCAGAAAGGCCCTATTCCGACCGGGATTCAAACCCAGTACCTTCTTGCTGAGAATCGAGAGTGCTAACTAGGGTTTAATATTTTTCCCGAAAATGAGACATATTAAATCCCGGGAAAAGACGACGCCTTACCCGGGAAATCCCGGGAAATAGCTGTTGTTTTTAGCCCAAGTAATGTATGATATCACTCAAATATATAATCCAACAAAAGCTGCCATCTCCACTAGTGTTTCACCAAGCGACTTGCTAGCTTTTCTAAAGTAGCCATAGCGTTTTCAGACGTTTTGTTGATGGGCTTTCTTCAGGAATTTCACTATTATGAGATTCTAAATGTCTGCGCAATCCACTTGTCGACCAGTGACGTGCGTGTGGTTTGGAGGCACTGACTTCAGCCCTGTCAGATGAACATATATCATATAAATCAACAGAACCTACAATTAGTTTGGCTACAGCAGAATGTTTTCCATGGCCCGCATTGTTTGCTCAAACAAAACGCAAACGTTCGTAAAAGGCACATTTCCAATTGTGTTATGGGTCTTACCTTAGTTATTAATGAACAGCACAGACCACTTCAGTTCAGACCAGTTTCATGTTTAAGTCCAGATAATAGTTTGAGCGCAGATATGTAATCCCCCATGTGGAAATACACCCAAAGAGTTTTAAAGCGTAAAACAAAACTGGTGCCACCTCCATAAACTCCTGTGTTTTCACTGGCTGCAGTCGAATCTCGGGCGCATCCAATTTCTAATATCAACCTTCTTACCCTTCTCCTCTCTTCCTTATCATTCCTATCGTCATTGGAAGCAGAACATTACCCTAAATGCATTTTATATGATCTTAAAATGTGTTATATGTATGTTAGCCAAACCTGTTGCTGCCCTTAGCAGATAGAAAAAAAGAAAGGAGCTTTCTGATAGAATTGGACGTAGCCAAATTCTGGGCTCACGTGTGCCCCGTACCCTGAGGCTGGCCTCATTACAAGTCGTGGTTTAGCGCGATTAACACCCATATTTGTTGTCAAAAACACAATTTATAAGCCATCCTCTCAGCTGTAGACATGTTGATTGTAAATGAAATATGTTTGAACTTTGAACAACAATAAACGTGCTCTATAATAGGAGCGCACTGGATTTTTTTTTAAACTTTCATTTCCCGTTTCCCGTCATAACATTTCCCGGGAATCGGGAAATAGTTTTGATCAGATAACCCTAGTGCTAACTGCTCCAACAAGACATCAGGTACCGCAGCTTTAACTAGGACAGAATCTGATCTCTTGATAACTGTACATGTACTTCCAATGACTAAATGTTCATGGATTAGTTTGAATGACATAAGCTTTTATCTGTGAATGTTGAAATGGCTCCTGACTCATCGCAGTAGCAGCACTTTACTCGGATTTATCTTTAACTCAGAGATCACGTCATC